CTCTAGATTATGCACTTTCAAGCAAAAGTACTCCTCGTTTCGACGCCAAATTTCCCTGAGAGTTATTTTTAAACGTAATAGATAAACCCTCTTTTCAATAGTTTCGGAGAAAAACGACTAATTCACTTCACATAAACACTGAAAATAGATTTCAAAAAAGATTCGACTGCTCGAGCAGCGGGCATTTCAAGAGTGGAATCAACCTAATTGGCTTGGAAGACTCAAAACTGAATGTCAACATGCTACGGCATATGAATAAATGTGAGATCATTATTCATAGGTGATAGCCTTGCAATCGTGCCTAAGGTCTTGTTGGTACTGGAGATCGTATTCAAAGACTGGGCACGCGAGTCTGAAAAAAAAACAATTCCGTCCCAAGACGGATAATGTAGAGTTAACAAAAAGCTCTCCGAAAACAGGATGAGCTGTGCGCAAACATGTCTTCAGTTTGGCAGGTCCATGCTTTTTCATGAGATGAACTGCTGTTTAAACATATTTTCGAACAGCAAAATATGTTTTCACATCGCTGCAAAAGACGAAATAAGGTTACGACTGTTGTAGAAAAGCGCCTGACTACTGGCAGCTACAGTTTTTTTTTCTAAAAGGGGAGCCTTTGAATTTCTAAGGAGACAGTTTTAAGTCTCTTGACGAAAAATATTTGCAGCTTGATTAATTAAAGGCCTTTAGTTTACAGATTTGTTCTAGGTTATATGACTTTAAAATCTCCGCTATATAAAAGCATATGCATATACCAGTTCAAACAGATGCACACATAAGTTTGAGACGAAAAATTTGCCAACCCCTGGTACTCACAGAACTGCACAATCTGAAAGAAAATATTGCTTGGAAATGTCAAAAGCTCGTATTTGCCTATCTGTCAGATGGTCATACACCCTGTGTCAGTGACTTTGGAGGCTACCAAATTATGAGGAAACTCGGTTCTTCTCAGGACTGCGGTTCGGGCTGCAAGGGCTCCCTTATGGCATTCTCACTCATATGGAATCCATGCTGCCCCTACCGTGACTACAGTTGGAAGGACCGCGTCACGCGTAGCACGCGCAGACGGACAGTTTACTTTTATCATTCACGGCGCCGGCACCCTCTTTCGAGCGTCTTGACGCTGTCTTGCCAATGAAGCAGCGTCCGTGAGGAACGAGAGCGAGTGTTTTAGACGCTGCATAAGTCTGCCCCAATATAAGCTAATTCAGGCGCAGGCCACAGATGTTGCATTCGCTTTCTGGGGCACACAACGGACTTCGTCATCTGCGACGGTGGAAGAGTCATACTTTGCACAATAGGAGTCTGCAGATAGCGCTATAAATAGCTATCGCCCTTTGAAGAGTATGCGAAATCAGGTAATTCGGGACGTTTTAATTTAAGTATCCCAGTTTCCCCTTTTTTTCAAATGTTCTCGATGCCTAAATGTATTTATTGTATCCAACAGGTGACGTCCTGATTTTCATGGTTTGCCGCAGGCAGGTACACAAACAGAACGTAAAAACGCGCATTTTTTGCTGCAGCGTCACGATAAAAAGGCAAAAGGCTGACACAACTTACTTTCGTACTTTACGGAGTCCTGCAAGATTGCATCCAGGACTTTTTCAATGTCATGAAAACCCTCTCGTAAACAGGCGCGTCCCTCCTCGATGCTGGATGCAGTGACAAAGCGATCCGTGAGAAGGTCCACATGATCAACGAGAATGCCAAAAAGGGGCTGGAATTAAAAAAAAGAAGTAAAAGGTCCGTCGAATTAGGTAAACTAGGAGTAAGCTGGTCGAACCGACCGACGCACAGTTTATGAACGATATCGCTGGGGCTGCGGAGGGCAAATAGACACTGTGTGCAAATAAAAAGTTTGATTCCTGTGCCCGGAAATAAAATTTACAGAGAAGTTCGCTTTGCGAACAGCTTCAAGGAAGTAAGGGCGGGAACGGGCATCGATATCTTCGATGCAGTCGAAAAAATGCTGAAAGAGGTAGACTCAGGCAAAGATGGCGACTGTTGAGAGGGCAGCTCTGCTGATTCAAGCAATTTTTGACGTAAAAGCTTTCGTCTAAACCAACACAATACGAATTCCTGTCTCATTGGTAGAGTGAAAAATGTGCATCTTGGACCACTCAGACGGAAAGAGTATCCAGGATGTTGCGGGAGGCAGGTGCCCTTCGATTTCTCTAGTCGAATTCCGACAATGTAGAGTAGTTATCAATGAGTGCGGACATCGCTTTTCGGCCTGGACATCTAGGAGCTTCGACGAAGTTAGTGAATAACTGGCAACTGCAACCTAGGTTAGCTAAAATCAGTCCAAGTCTGAGCGGCACTCTTGTGACTAGGTGTCAGAGTAGAAGAAATTCCTCAAACGATGTGGTCGGTCGAACCAAAATTATTTAATAAGTTACATCTGAAAATTATTTATGCAGCAAGGTCTGACACACTCTACACTTCTGCTTGAGTGATGCAGCGAATAATAAAATGGCTGGAAAACTCGATCAACGAAGTACCATCGGATAGTTGAAGTTGTGAACGTTCCTTGATCTTGCTACTCGAATACCTACTATGTGCAGCAGGTATTAGTAAAATTCGAAAATCTGACTGCTTGAAATTCA